ACTCGGCCGGCCCCTGTAATACATTTTAACGTGGTAAACGAGCAGTGTCTTGCAATATAAGTAGTTTGTTTCTGGAATGAATTATGCTCGCAAACCAAGGTATTACTGTACTTTATTTTTCTTATAGTAATTCTTGCCTTTTCCATTGTTTCAAAAGTAACATTTTATTGTAGAACATTTAGAACATACAGGAAGCAAAAATTAAGAAAAAAAATGAAAAAGAGCCCATTACCATGTTTAACCTCATGGTTTTGTCTTTCTAGTCTCTTTTCATGAGTAACATCTGTACCCATATACCGGGGGTGCCAAAAAAATGTACTAGTGGATGGTTTGGTCAGCGTTGCTCAAGCGGCAGTCCACCATAATCAGAAGTGTCTGGACGCTGATGGTCACCACTTTGAGCACCTCTTGTAATTGCAGAAGTCAAACGTGACTTGTATTCATCTTTTGTTATTGGAATATATTGAGTATCACAATTTTAATACAGTTTTCCTTTCTTAAAATGTGTATACTTTTCTTCGGCACCCTCTGTAGAACATATCTGTGATATACATATATAAAACATAATAGCTATATATTATGTATTTTTTCTTATAAAATATTTTCCTACTGTTCATCACCTGCTTTTATACTTACTGGTATATAATTAGTATCACCAGGTGACATCAGGCAGATTGGGCCTCTGCAGGTATTGGGAGGCAGAGAGGGGAGAGGTGGGGGGGAACGCTCTGGAAGGTGGGGTTTGGGGTTTGGCTGTGTGAGGAGGAGCAGAGAGGATGGCTGTGGTGCCAGGCACCCAGGTTGTGTCTCCCAGTCCCTCTGTCCTGATCCTACCTGGTGAGGGGCAGAGGAGGAAACGCTTTACCCTGGGGCAGGGCGGAGGTGTTGGGAAACCCTGAAGTGCAGACACTCTGACCCCTCTGATGAATCCAGCTGAAAAAAGTCAGCACCCAATCCAGATGTGTGTTCTATCCCTTCCCCAACCTCTGGCGTGACTGCCCCAGGAGGTTGTTGGCCTGACCTTTGCTACCCAGATAAGCCTGGAGCTGTCACCCTGGCGGGAGCCTGGTCACCAACCCTCCCCCCACCCCATGTCCCTGGCTGGCGCTCACGCTTTGCTCTTTCTGGCAGGCTGCACCTACATAGGCAGAATCTTCCACAACAACCAGACCTTTCCGTCTGTGCTGGACCCGTGTCTGAGCTGCATCTGCCTGGTACGGCCACCCAGACCTGACCCCTGTCTGCGGAAACTCCCCAGGGACTGCCACCAGCTCCTGAACCCTGGAGGCAAAGTCCAGAGACCTCCAAGAGAAAGGTCACTTCTGGGTCATGGTGACAGTCGGCTCCCTCTAGCTCTGCCCAGGGTGAATCTTGACCTAGGGCCAGAGAACTGTTTTTCACCCTGCCTGGCTAAAGTCCTCTGCTTCTCATGACCAGGGAGGGTTTTGGGGGCCAGTCCTTACAGTATGAAGTGTGGCCCAGGGGTTCTCGCTGAGGGTGCAGGTGAGGGACTCCAGCCCAAGGCTTTTTACTGGAAGCTTGACTCACATTCTCCAGCTATTGCCGTGTGCCAGCCCTGCTCTCAGACCTTTATACGCATGAACTCAAGTTAGTCCTTGGGAGAATCATAGGAGGTAGGCAGTGCTATGGTCTCCGTCGGCTAGGTGGGAAAACCGAGGCACAATGCGACAAGTCATTAGCTTAAGATCCCACAGG